TCACCCAACAACAACCCCAACAAATAGTACTTACCATTCAGGAAGGGTCAGAGCCATTGATAGGATATCAACGGTGACAATAGAGATAGAGTGGTCTACTTCTTGCATCTTCTCCTGCCATGTTTACCATGACAAATGTAATCAGTGCATGCCTGCTTTCCTAGAAGTTGTCCACATGAGAGTTTCGCAGTTGAACTACTTTTTCATTCTGAGGGGCCTGAGTCAAGTGATGTTCATTTGCAATGCTTGGAGTCTGATCGTAATTGAGATGATTCACAGTCCAACCCACAGAAGCCAATGTGACAATAGAAGGTGATGATGGCAGATCACTCCTTGAAGTGAATGAACCAGGTCATTCACACGTTGACAGGCAGTTATCACGCTAGGTTGAGAGTAGGTACACAGCCAAATGATGCTCTCACTGATGTATTAAAAAGTATTGCTCTAGAGATTTCAACACATGTTTCACTAAGCATATGTGCAAGAATTTTAATAGATATTTATAAAGAGAAACACTTTAGTTAGAATCTCAACAACAATGAATGGTGATTATAGTTTCACACTCCACATTTGTGGTGTCAAATTCACTGAAAGTTGCCCCAGCTTGTTAGCACTTACTTTAAAACTGCAGTAAAAGTGCTACAATTAGGGTGACTTTCAGCCGAGAACTATCGCAGGACTCACACAAAGTAAGTAATGTCATCAAATACGTGAGACTGCCCAAAGAGTAGCACATTTGATTAAATCAGTTGCTTCTATTTCTGTAATGTAATGGTGTTTTAATTTGGACAGTATTGTCTGTCAAACTACGAATGAGAACTTGCATTAAACCTGCATTAAAAGTCTTGCCAGTTCAAATCCAGACTGTGCACAGCAGATTGGCAGTCCATCAACTAACCTATTGCTGACATAACTCACACTTATGAAATTACATGCCAGTCTGTGAGTCTGTGGAGAATAAAGGAGATATGATGCACATTGTTTTCCCATTGCAATCTCTTAGCTTTCATGTTTTCTCCACCCACACTTGTTCTGTCTCATGGATCTGTCAGAGCCTGTCACCTGTGGCCTTGTTATGTGTGAGACAGACTGCACACCCAAGCAGAGGTTGTTGTAAAGAGGAGGCAAAACAGCCCTCTCTGCAGTAATGAGTGGGACTCCAACCCACGCGTGCAGAGCACAATGGATTAGCAGTCCATCGCCTTAACCTCTCGGCCACCTCATCCGAAAAGCCTTTTCCCAGATCCTCACAACAAAAATTTTTGCCTAGCATGATACCTTTAACAAACATGTGTTGTGAGGTCAGGCTTGACGAATGATCCCTGTTTCCTCAAATCAGACATGGTACTCACTCACACCTGATTGTTATGCCATAGACTGAAAACACCTGACACTGATTTCCCCTTCAAACTAACAGCTCACGCATGTCCCAAACTTTGCTACTTGATAAAACTGCAGTATGTGCTACAATTAGGGTGACTTTAGCCGGTACGAAACATTGTAGGACTCACAAAGTAAGTAATGACAAATACACAGATGAGACTGCCCCAAAGAGTAGCACTTATTGGATGAAATCAGTGCTTCGTATTTCAAGTAATCTAATTGTGCTTTATTTGGAAAGTATTGGCTATACCGAGCATGGTCCACGACACTGTAGCTTAAGTGCTGTCAGGATGGCTGAGCGGTCTAAAGCGCTGCGTTCAGGTGCCGTCTCCCCTGAGGCGTGGGTTCAAATCCATTTCTGACATTTGGTTCCTTTCTGCACCTCTGATGAGGGGGTATTGGGCTGTTCCTAGAGAGCTTGTTTAAATAAATGCTCCTGCATAGTTTGGAATTTCCTTTATAGTTTTTGGGTCTTTTAGTCAGGATGGTCGGTGGTCTAAAGGCGTTGTGTTAAGGTTTCAGTCTCTTCTGGAGGTGGGTTCAACCACTTCTGACATGCTGCACTTTGTTGATAAGACTGTTCATAATGTAGTTGACATGTTGGGGTGCAGTGAGTGGGCAGGTGTGGTTAGGTGAATGTGATCTCACGGCAGGTGTTGGGTTTAGTTTGATTACCTGCCTTATTCATGTGCTTGTGTTTCCTGAGGGGCGTCGCTCGTGATTGTGTTTATATATGTATGATTGTGTTTATACAACGCAAACAACGGTCTTGCCACTAGACCACAGGGATGAAAACCAAGAAAATGGTGGCCTCTACACTGGTTATGCTGGCCAGTGTCTTCCATCAAAAGCTCATAGAAAATCACATGAGCATCAGCACAGGACCATGGAGCAGTAAGAAGGTGGCTTGGTCCTAGGAATCATGTTTTCTTTCACACCATGTACAGCTTAGGGTTATAATAATAATAATAATAATAATAATAATAATAATAAACTTTATTGGGGTTAGAAATGGCTCGAAAAGGCTTGAAAGACGCTTTGCCCAGGAGTTGCACTTAATCCTTGTCTTACGCTCAATTCCTGGTAAGGCTTGAAGACGCTTGCGAGGAGTTGCACTAATCATTGGTCTTACGCTCCATTCCTGGTAAGGCTTGTAAAGACGGCAGCAAGGGTTGCACTTAAGCCTCTTGTCTTACGCTCCATCCCTGAAAGGCTTGTAAAGGCGGTCCAATAGAATGGTTAGGCCTGCTGTCCAACCATTCACTAAATGTAAGCTAACAACTAAACTGTATATCTCTCTTAACATACTAGAAATGTATTAAATGGTAAAACAGGATATTTGCTGGAATTACTGACTGCTACCGCTGGTGAGTGGGGTAGCTCTTTGAGTTAAATGTTTTGTAACTGTGTTTCATCAAGTATTAAATGATGTGTATTAACCGTTGTACCCTGAGCAGTAAAGGTGGCTTGGTCTGAGGAATCACGTTTCTTTCACATCATGTACAGCTTAGGGTTGGGGTTAGGGAAAATGGCTTGAAAAGGCTTGAAAGACTCACGGCCAAGGAGTTGCACTTAAGCCTGTCTTATGCTCCATTCCTGCTAAAGGCTTCTAAAGGAGCGGTCCAATAGAATGGTTGGGCCGCCGCTCAACCATTCACACTAAATGTAAGCTAACGACTAAATTATTATTATCTCTCTTAACATACTAGAAATGTATTTAATGGTAAAACGGGATATTTCCTGGAATTTCCTGACTGCTACCGCTGGTGAGTGGCGTAGCTCCTTTGAGTTAAATGTTTTGTAACTGTGTTTCGTCAAGTATTAAATGATGTGTATTAACCGTTGCACCCTTGAGCAGTAAGAAGGTGGCTTGGTCTGAGGAATCACGTTTTCTTTCACATCATGTACAGCTTAGGGTTGGGGTTAGAAATGGCTTGAAATGCTTGAAAAGACGCTTGCGAAGGAGTTGCACTTCGCCTTGTCTTACGCTCCATTCCTGGTAAACCTTAAAGACAGTCCGATAGAATGGTTAGGCAGCCCGCCGCACAACCATTCACACTAAATGTAAGCTAACGACTAAAGTGTATTATCTCTTAACATACTAGAAATGTATTTAATGGTAAAACGGGATATTTCCTGGAATTCCTACTGCTACTACCGCTGGTGAGTGGAGTAGCTCCTTTGAGTTAAATGTTTTGTAACTGTGTTTACGTCAAGTATTAAATGATGTGTAATAACCGTTGCACCCTTGAGCAGTAAGAAGGTGGCTTGGTCTGAGGAATCACGTTTTTCTTTCACATCATGTACAGCTTAGGGTTGGGGTTAGAAATGGCTTGAAAAGGCTTGAAAAGACGGCGGCCAAGGAGTTGCATAAGCCTTGTCTTACTCTCCATTCCTGCTAAGGCTTGTAAAGCACGGCTTGGGCCAGGAGTTGCATTAAGCCTTGTCTTACGCTCCATTCCTGGTAAGGCTTGTAAAGACGCTTGTACGTGGGGAAATGACCAAAACATAAAAAGCCAAGGAATTGCACTTAAGCCTCGTCTCATGGTTCTTTTCGCGTGGTGTGCAAAAGAATAGAGCACAGGTGTTAGCAAACAGACTCCCGGGCGGAATCGAACCCCGGTCCTTCCCAGCGTGACAGGCGAGATACTGTCCACTATACTAACGAGGAAATCCTACTGGCCCGCTGAAACGGTTGGCACTTTGGACAGCATCAAACATAAACGATAAAACCATAAATGATCCAAGAAATTGCACTTAAGCCTTGTCCTGTGCCCCATACCGATGTTGGCCAACAGAATATGGCACTGGACTTGAACTGCACTGGGGCTTTACCTGTGCAAGTTGAAGCCTGCTATGAACCTGAGTCTTAATGCAGAGAATCTTTATGAAGATGAGCAACAAAGCACCTTGGCATTCATCAAACAAGCTCGTGCGCAAACACATCTTCCATCCTGGAAATTGCATTGGCGTAAAGGAAGTCAAACCAATCCTGCTTTGAGACAATGTCCACTGTAAAAAGCGCTACACAAATAAAATTGATTTGAACTGAATCGAATGTGTACATGTAAAGTTGTAAATGGTCTAGTTACTTAATTGAAGTAAATGTATTGAAGAAGGGCAGAAACATGAGAATATAAAGATGCACAAACACGTTTATTGGCTCCAGAAAAAATAGTCTAGTGTTTCCTTAAATCCACTTTGCCGCTTTGCTTGTGAAGAGCAAAAATTCGAATAGAAAATCGATCTGGTTTGCTAGCTCACTTATCAAAGATAACTATAAAATACTTTATATTATAAAAATACTATTAGTAACCCACAATTAACTAAATGGTCTCGCGCGCAGTATCTAGCGCGACCTTTTGCTTTTCTATGATCCGCCACGCCTACTTAGATCAAAAGATGCAGGCTATTTGTTTGCGTACCTCCGAATGGCGAAGGCTACAACAGGAGGATGAGCTTTCTCTTGAGCCCCACACTTATGGAACAGTCTTCCAATTAGAGTTCGGGACTCAGGCACAGTCTCAGTGTCTAGGCTTTAATCGTATTTGTTTAATCAAGCCTACCCTGACTAGACTTTCTCTTATGCTAAGCACAGTCCTAGTTTTTTCTCTCCTCCCCTCCTTCTGTCCGAGCCACACCCGATTTTATGGAGATACTAGAGATCCTGATCCCCTCTGCTCTCTGGACCTACCTGATCCATTTTGGGACGGCTCTACCTCTGGATGGAGCTCTCATCTACTCCAATTCAGATTGCTGGGACACAGCTGCTTCTAAGGCCAAAGAGACTCCATATGAATCCCTAATCATCTTTTTCACACTATCTGATGTTACCCAGATGAGGATAGGTTCCCCTTCTGATTCTGGTTCCTCTCAAAGGTTTGTTCCTCTTAACATCTTAGGGAGTTTTCCTTGCCACCGTCACCACTTAGTGGCTTGCTCAGTTGGGATAATGGTCACCTTTATATATCTGATATAACGAATGGTTTTATAGATATACATGGATTGAGCTTCGCTTCACCTCCAATAGCTCCAGTTGGTAGAGCGGAGGACTGTAAGGTACTCAACTAGTCATCCTCAGGTCACTGGTTCCAATCGCCGCACGAGACGGATTTCTCTGTGATATGGTTTCTTTTTAAATGTTAATTTTTGGCCGGGATAAAACACCATTCCCTGACCGAATCGACCCGGGCCGGCGGTGAGCCGAATCCTTACCACTAGACAACCAGGGACGAAAACCAAGAAAATGGTGGCCTCACACTAGCTATGCTGGCCAGTTTCTTCCATCAAAAGCTCATAGAAACTGCACATGAGCATCAGCACAGGACAGTGGAGCAGTAAGAAGGTGGCTTGGTCTGAGGAATCACGTTTCTTTCACATCATGTACAGCTTAGGGTTGGGGTTAGAAATGGCTTGAAAAGGCTTGAAAAGATGCTTGGCCAAGGTAAGAAGGTAAGAAGGTGGCTTGGTTATGCCATAGACTGAAAACACCTGACACTGATTTCCCCTTCAAACTAACAGCTCACGCTTATGCCCCAACTTGCTAGCACTTACTTTAAAACTGCAGTAAATGTGCTACAATTAGGGTGACTTTCAGCCGAAACATCATAGGACTCACACAAAGTAAGTAATGTCAAATACACAGATGAGACTGCCCCAAAGAGTAGCACTTATTGATGAAATCAGTGCTTCTATTTCAAGTAATGTAATGGTGTTTTTTTGGAAGAGTTGGTTATAACCGAGCATGGTCCACGACGCTGTAGCTTATGTGTGTCAAGGATGGCACTGTGCATAGAAAGAACCAACTCCACTGCTTTGTTGCCGAAATACCTGAGCAGGGTCCCTAAGTGAAGCCTATACTTTTCTCAAACAAATTGCATGGGGCACGTTCAGACATTGGTGGCCGCGATGGAAACAAGGCTGTTTTATGTAGTTGTGGCCGTACCCTCGGCGAACGGACTGGCAATCAGTTCCTAACCATCCTAACGCAGTTCAAAGAGGGTCCTAACAAAGTCCTAACACATTTCTTAACAATTCTAAAAATAGTCCTAACAAAGTCCTAACAGTTCCTAACCCTCATGCACCGGGGGAAAAAACGGCCATTGGTATTGAGCGTGGTGACGTGGAAAATCACGTGATTAATAAACGAGAGAGAAGGAATTTGCAGGAGCCATTTTTACGATCCTCGGAGAGTACACAGCGCTACACAGATATTCATATATATTTTTATAAAGCTTTTATTTAAGATTTTTTTGTACCTTTGATAGATTCGAGGTGAGTCTGATCATTAATTTAACTAAACTTATTGTTAGGTGCTTTAATATTGACCGACCTAATATGAGGCCAGCCATTTATATTGTGCTATGAATGTACGGGCTGCTTTAGGTTATACTATATAGAATAATATTAACAATGACAGCTATGTACGTAATGGAATACAGAGTGGACAGAGTGTCTGGTGTTTAAAACTGCGCCAGAGAGAATTCCGTTTTTTCTGATGTGAACTTCGGTTTTTTCTGATGAGCAAACGCCATCCAAACCGATGAAAACTCCTGCCTAGAATTTCATTTAAACTCATTTGGTTGTATCATAGAAAGGTGAACAGTTGGGAGAAAAAAAAAGTCGGTTAATGTGTTAATGAGGGACACGCTTGTGGTTGTGTGCACGAGTTTGCGTGCTCATGCTTCCGTTTAGCGGTTTCTTCTTCTTCTTCAAAATTGCACCTTGAGAAAAATCTAGTGCATTTCTGGGCAAACCTTAGCCAATTTTCGTAGAAGAGAGTGCCAGTACTGCCCCGTTACAGCCGCTGTATTTAAATTATCATCTAGTAACTGGAAAAGGCAGCATATAAATTGGGTTGTGTTTTATTTTTATTATATTGTTATATATTATTGTTATTATTATTATTATATTATTACTTAAATAAAGAATATGTTTGAATTACATCTTGTAGATTCCTTGAAAACAAAAACAATTGTGCTTGAAAAGTTTTTGAATGTCCTGGAATTTCAATATGAAGCACCCTTCAAGCGTGTCCCCTCGCCTTGTGCCCTAAGCCCCTGGATAGACTCCAGGCTCCATGCGACACGTGTAGGATAAGCTTCAGAAAATGGATGGACGTGTCAAAATATTTTATTCAAACAGTAAAAGAGAAATCCCTCAGTGTTAACCGATTCACGTTATAGTTTACTTTATCATTGATACTGCTTTTAGATAACTAAAAACTTTTAGCACTCTTTAGTTTAGTTTAAACATTATTATCTATTCTATTTACAATGTAAGATTGTATTTGATGCTGACATAAAATAAATTCATACATAATTAGGTAACCGTCCATGTACATAAAGAAACATGAATTATAGAATTATATTCATGTCATCACTAACCTACAACTGAGCTCAAGTTGACTGATATTTAGCCTGTTGTTTCACATTTGCAGACATGACGAGACCCAAACCAGGCATGTACCGGTATGACATCTTCTGCAAGTATGCCCCAAGGGAAGTACCACTTCACAACAGGCAAGCCAGGAGCAAAGAAGTGGAAGGCTGCGTTACAGTATTGATAACTGTCCATCACACAAAGCAGACCCGTATTTACGACATATTTGGGAAAATAATCCCCTTGCAAATGCGGTTATCACAAGGTATGTAATGATAAACATGATCATTTTACCTGTGCTGGTGACCATTGCCATAAAAAGGTAATATTACTATTTCTTCCAGTATGTACATTTCATAACGAAGCATGTTCATTATTTATGTTTGTATTGTGTCAATAAAAAAAGAGTAATGTTGTTTGAAAACATGGAAATATTTTCAGACCTAGGGAGAAACCATACTTTTCCAGTCTGCTCAACAGACAGGGAATCAGCCTGAGCAGCCAGCCCCACAGACCAGTACAGTCGTGCAGCCAGTCCCACAGACCAGTACAGTCACGCTGGCCCACAGACCAGTACAGTCGGTGCCGCCAGTCCCACAGACCAGTACAGTCGTGCAGCCAGTCCCACAGACCAGTACAGTCGTGCAGCCAATCCCACAGACCAGTACAGTCGTGCAGCCAGTCCCACAGACCAGTACAGTCGTGCAGCCAGTCCCACACAACCAGTACAGTCGTGCAGCCAGTCCCACAGACCAGTACAGTCGTGCAGCCAGTTCCACACACCAGTACAGGAAAGACAGGAAAGCAGCGTGCGCACACACCAGTACAGGAAAGACAGGAAAGCAGCCAGTGCCACACACCAGTACAGGAAAGCCGCCAATGCCACAGTTCAGTATAGGAAAGCAGTCGGCTACAGACCAGTACTCGGGCTAGAATCGGAATGTAATCAAGTGCGGTCTATGTGGCAAAGAAGTCAACCGTGGAGGATTATACTGAACACTGTCGTACTACCATACCCAAGAGTGTTGTGACCGTTGTGGCGTAAACGTCTGGGGTGCACTCGGACTGCTTCAGCATATGAAAACACCATCATTTGAGTAGTTTTTGCAGACGGCAGAAAAACTGTGGATCCAACTACAGCTCCTCCCACATCATCATTTGTGATTCATCCTGTAGCTGCACAAACACATCCATCAGTTGCTGCTGACACAAACAAACCCATTTACACCCAAGGAGCTCCAAAAGTTTACCCCACACACCATCCACAACACCCTTTACCCTGGGGGCCTC